TGCAGATAAGAATCCATTTCGTGATCAGATACATTTTTTTGCTCGATATATTGATGATGTCGTGTTTATTGTGGATCAGGATCTTAATGTAGAATCATGGCTGCAATATGTGAACAACAATGGATTAAATTTGAAGTTTACTGTAGAAGAACAAATTTTAGAAATGAATTATTTGGATCTGATCTTGATAGGGAGTGTAGAGGAAGGCCACATACGGGTTTGTTCTTTTCGGAAACCCATTTCCAGGAATACCTTACTTAGAGCTGATAGTTGACATCCAGGTCGTCTAAAAAGGGCTATACCCAAGGGACAATTTACCCGCATGAAACAAAACTGTACAGACAAAGACGACTTCTTTAAAGAGTCAAAGGACTTGGAAAGACGCTTCTTACATAGGGGCTACTCTCAATCCCTGGTAAGATCAGCATATGAAAGTGTACGTGATGTTCCTAGATATAATTTACTTAGCGATGTACCCAAGAGGATAGGGAAAATTAGGGATAGGAGGGTTACCCCTGGAGGAGAGAAGGGTAAGAATTCCCCCTCAGTATTTTCTACTTGTTATAGTCAACAATTTGAAGATGTTAAAAAGATTGTCAAGAGGTACTCACCTATTCTTCACGGGGATACAGATCTTAGAGATACACTAGATACAGGTATACGTTTTGTAGCGAGGAAAGCACCTATTATAGGCAATATGATTTCCCCCAGTCTTTTTAGAAGTAACAGAGGACCCAGCATGAATTGGTTAAGAACAACAGGTCTATATAGATGTAATGCAGCCCGATGTTCAAGCTGCAGTATTTTAGGTGATAATCATCTCGTGACTTCTTATTCTAATGGGACAACATTTAAAATTAACCAGCTAGTCAATTGTCAGACCCGATTTGTTATATATATAATTTCTTGTACCATCTGTCACAAACAGTATATAGGTAAGACCACAAGACGACTGTGTGACCGCATGAGAGATCATTTATCCAATATTAGAACCTCTAAGAATACTAACGTAGCTAAACATTTTTGTCACTATCATAATAGTAATATTAAGAGTATGAAGGTACAGATTATAGAAAGAGTTGATACACCTTTAAGGGGATGGGAATCGAGCTTCCCTTTTGTCAAAAAGGGAAGTTTTTTGGATTTTCAAGCTAGACACTCGCATCCCTAAAGGCTTAAACTTTGAGTGGGATGTTACATATTATTATGAGGGATATGAACAGTTATGAGTTTTGATTATTTATTATTTAGTTTGACTTATTTATCACTTGATAATACATATGTGCTTTTGACATTTTCTGAAATATTGAGAGGAATGTTCTGGGCAATTGCCTGGGACACCTGTGTTAGAAAATATTTTTCTTGATGGTTCTTAGAATATAGTATTTTAAATAAACCTATGACCATTCAGCTACTTTTTGTGGGTTTCTCTGTTTGCCTAACTAGCCTTAGTAGTGTAGTTTCCAGATAGCTATGTATGGATAACACATTATTATTGTAGATTGATCAAGAGGTTAGTTTGTGATTATTTTTTCCGATTTATATTTATATTGTTTATATTGTTTTTAACGTGCACTTACACTTTTTATAACTGTGGATGCAGTTTTTTACATAAACTTTTGATTTATTTATTTACATGTGTTATCATATCAATTTTGGTTTTACCTATAACTAATGAGTGGCATTCTTCTCCTGTTTTGACATATCGGGCTGTAGATGTGGTTGTAAAATATGTGTGTATATATATATATATATACGGTATGTTCATGGCGACTAAGCTTTGTGTTTTATAGTACTGATATTTTGGTCTATTCGGATGAGAAGAGCCACTCATTTGTTACAGTTTATTTAATTATGTATGTATTTATTTATTTATTTGTTTATACACTTGTACATTTGTATGTATTTGCAAGAGTTTGATATTTTATTTTATATATTTCACTTCTGTGCACCGTCTTACACCCTGCACAGTTGACAGGGAGATTGCGGTTTGGTGAGATTGAGTTAAAACATCTGACATCTGGTATGGAGATTACAACATGTATGATGGGATTGGTAGTTTATTTGTGCTCTACTGACCCTTATAAACCAGCCAGTTTAGAGTTAACCTATCTATCAGTGAGCATTGCTTCCTGCACCTGTGTAGGGTGGAGTTTTTTGAACACATTTAAGTGAGATACTGGTCTGTATTTGTTACCTCTATGAATAAGCCTTCGGGTGAAACATGTGAGAAGTTGTAGTTGGTTGGGGGTGTGCAGTGCTGGCATTTGTTGCTTTATACACTTTTATTCACTGGATTTGCTGTGAATTTTAATAAAATCTGCAGTATTGCAATTCTCTGGATAGTGCGGTCTGTTTGTATACTTCTGGAACTCGCTGCCACATGCTGCGATTTCGGCTAAGAGTGTGGAATCGTTCAAGAGGCGATTGGACGATTTCCTCAGGGACCGTAATATACAGGGGTACAAGTACTATTAAGAATGAGAACATACAGGGACTGATAGATACGCCGACATCAGTAGGACCATACACATACACACAATAGGTTGGACTTGATGGACTTATGTCTTTATTCAACCTCAAATACTATGTAACTATGTAACTCTAGTAAACCCCAGGTTTTGCACCTTGCCTCAATGGCAATTTAGTGCAGGTGAGGCAAACAGACACTGCTCTGGAGCCTAGAGAGCAGACAGTCTGAATCTGCTAGAGCACAAGGTTGGTCACTGTGGCCTGACAAACAATAGGCTTGTACAGGTTGTTAGTCAGGACTATGTTATGTGTAGTAAGTGCCGGGACACGGCTAGAAATTTGGTTTTGAATTATTTACTTAATTTGAGCACTGTACAGCACTGTCTATATAGCCTGTGTGATGCACCAATAAACGCACCACTGTTTTGAACAAAGATTACTGGTCTGGTCTCTAAGCCTCTCAAGATTGCTCCCCCCAGGTTTCTAGTCTTGGAGCTGTAAAAGTATCTGTACATGTACTTCTACCGAGTACGGTACTTGGTATCTGAACATCCCTATTTAAGAGCATTGGGATGGTCAATTTGACAGTACTTTTTCATGTCTTTTTTTAATTATCTTTTTGTTATGAACACTTTTGCCATTAATATGCTAAAATTAATAGGCATTTTTATCCTGCATGTTTATGATAATGGTGGTCAATGATCCTGCATTTTGTGCAACACAAGACTGAGACCCTACATACTGAGTTGCACTGTAGGCAGTCTATCAAGATGTATGAGCTGCAGGTGCAAAAATACAGCTTCCTTTCGAGAAAGTCCACTATCCCTGGACGCATCTATTCTGTGTCCAGGGATAGAGATCTATTCCTAACTGCATGTAATCATATCACATGCGGAGTGCCAGCAGACTGCTGCTTTTAAATGCGGCTGCTATCACCCAATCATTTGAATGGGTGACAGTGGCCACAGGACTAACATGAATGTAGTCTTTTTTTCACCCTGCTTTACGGTCACTGGATTTAATGGCATGTCTGTTCTGAAATATGCACAGGTTCTGAAAGACAGGGAATTCTCGATGATTCCCACAATGCTAAAAGCTAGACAGTCTACTTCATGTAATGTCTATCACTGTACATAGAAGACATTTTTTTACCTGGTGCAAAGTGAGAGACTTTCACCTGAGGAACTTCTTCATGAAATAAATCCTTGAACTCTTGCAGATGGGTCTGAACCAGTATTTGAACATCAGTACTATCAAGGTTCAGACCTTGCTGCTGGCTTCACATTCCTTGATTAAGTCTGCTGGCTTCACATTCTTTGATTAAGATCTTCGTGCAGAGCGCCTCTCATGTGGCTCCCACATTCGCTGCCCTGTGACTCTGTGAGACATGCATATGGTTATCTTGGCACTTCAAAAACCACCTTCTGAACCTTTTGGGGATATTCTCCTTTCTGCTTTCACTAACAAGGTTGTGTTTCTTGTTGCCATCAATACTGTGAGGCAAGTGTCTGGACTGGCAGCCTTATCCTGTAAATAATTATTTCTGGTCTTGTATACAGAGACATCAGAAGGAGATTTCCCTCCATTGGCTTGTTGTAGTTTGGGCTGTGAGAGTTTACCTTGCAGCCGTTTCTTCCTCCAGAAAGACTTACTCTTTCTGTGTAATTCCTGAGGGTCACTGTAAAGGTAAACTAGCTTCTCATTCAACCATTTCTCAATGGCTCAGACATGCCATCATCCAAGCTTATGATCTTAAGTATGAAGGATGGTGATTCTTATTAAAGCACACTCTTCAAGGTCTGTAAGTGCCTTTTAGTCTCTTCAGCATCAGGCTACTGTTTCTCAGATTTGCAAGGCTGCCAACTGGTTTTCTGTTCACACTTTCTCCAATTTTACCAGGTGGATGTTCAGGCATCATCTTATGCCAGCTATGGGCACAAGATCCTTAAAGTTCTATTGTATTTGTGGTCCTGTTAACTTTTTTTTTCTGCTGCCCACTCCTCAGTTGTACTGCTTTTGGACGTCCTGACAGTATCTGAATTCCTGTGCCCCTCAATGGATGATAAATAAAATAGGATTTTTGTACTACATGCAAAATCCTTTTTCTTAGAGTCCATTTAGAGACACAGGTCCTATCTCTATGGTCATGCTCTTGGTACTGCTTTGCCAGAAAACTGAGGCATGCTGGGAGTAGGAGGGGTTATACAGAGCTGGCCTCCTGTAGGCAGCAGTATAACCCCAAAAATTCTAAATTGCTGTCCCTCAGTGGAATACTAGAAAATTATTTTAGGGTGAATACAGAAATGTTATTTATTATTAATTATTTTCACACTTATTGAAGAGATCTAACACAAAAATGCAAAAGTATATTTGGCAGACCAAAAGGGAGGTAATAAGAGAAGTTTTTTGTTACATTCACTCTAATTGCCTTTGATAAAACGGAGTGCTATAGAACGTCAATAACATACGCATCATAAAAAAGGAGATAAAAATTGGCACATCATTTGTTATGGGCTTTGTTTCCACAGACCACATCATCAACTTTAAAAGGTGCCATTCAGTTGGGTATTGGATATACTGTTGGAAATTTAACTTCCAAACCAGAAAGGGATGTTTTGATGCAGGATTTCTATGTTGTGGAAAGTATCTTCTTTCCAAGGTAAGAATTACTCAACTATCAATGTATTGTGCAATGCCTATTGGTAATTTAACTTTCTCATTGTATTATTTGCAGTGAAGGAAGTAATCTAACGCCTGCCCATCATTACCCAGACTTCCGCTTTAAGACTTATGCTCCTGTTGCCTTCAGATATTTTCGAGAACTTTTTGGGATTCGACCAGATGATTATCTTGTGGGTATACTTTTCAAAGAACTGCAAATTTCTAGCTGCATTTACTTTAATCAAATTTTCCCATGTTGATTCAGTGCTTTGTACAAATATCTCTACACAACTTTTGTACTGAAACTCTGCTAGTGAAAGTGAGACGTGCAGCATCTGTACAACTTAATCGTCTAACTGATTCATCATTTAGAATCCTAATTTGTTCACATTATAATATTTTTTTTTTCATTTTGCAATTTTCTTTTTATTTGTATTGTGTTTCCGTAAAAAAAAAACATTTGAGTTTGGAGAAGGAAGGAACATTCTAGACCAAAATAGCTGATTTTTAAAAAATACTCCAATTCAGCTCACTTTCCAGTTCAGCTATGTTGTCCTAATTAACAACACAACATTTAGGGGGACCCTATATGATCCATGGAACTTAAAGGGATAAGTGTACCCTGATGGGAATAAGGAGGACTTTGATGTGCAGTATGAGCGGCACCGCAATAATAAATGGCTTTTGTGAATGTGTCTGAGCTTGAGAATCTATACTGCTGTGATATGTTGGCTGTTTTTTAAGTGCTGATGATTTGATGCATAATGACATATGTATTTGTATTGCATATAAAAAGAAGTACAGAGCAATAAACAAAGAAAGGATTGTTTGAAAACGAGTTATACACAAAAGTAATCAGACAATTAAGCAATGAACACCACAGTAAAATTTGTGTTCGAGTAGCAAAAATTGGAAAATTGGAGTATATAAATACATGTTAAAATTTGCAAGTACTGCAATAGGATGAGCTAAAGGACATAATAAAAGGAGCAGTCACATAGCTCAGGGATTAATCCTGAAGTTATTTGTAACTCATCTTGCTAGGGAATAATATGTGGAATAGGTGGTATCCGTAAGTTATAGCATTATAGCAGTAGTAAAACCGTACAAAGAATAGGAATGACAGAAGGGTGAAAGAGTCAGGTAAGTAGTCGGAAAGGAAAAAACAAAGAAGAGAAAGAGAGAAAAGAAAAATAAGACTAGAAATGAAATTAGAAATAAGAATTAAAAAATTGGAAAGGACCTGGACTGGGGGGACAGGGGTTGAGAAAGCTTCTAGAAATGTGCCAAAATGAATCTAAAAAAAAAAAAAAGGGATAAATGAGTGAGTGCAGAGAATTCTAGGGGGTGTACCAACGACTTCAGCCTATCTGATTCGGAATAATGAACCCATATAGACCATTGCGCATGAAATGTATCCATTATGTAATTGTCCATGGCCAAAAGTTCCTCCATACGCATAATATAATTAACAGTGCTCAACCACAATGAGAGCGATTGATAGGAAGTGGATTTCCAAAACATGTATATGTCATGACCTACAGTCTGCGTTTATGAACCACAACTGCGGAGAGATGAGTGGCAGCAGTTTGTATTGGTTTATATCTAAATATGGCAATCAGTACTGAACTCCAGGCGTCACTCTCAGTCTCAGAAAGGAGAGTTAGGAGTTCCTGACATCATCTGCCAAAATAGATATGGGATCTGTTAATGGTGTGCAGGGACGGTATTACTCCATACCCCCAACTGCTCCTTAAGGTTAATTAGGTGAAATTACCACGTATGGTCTAAGTTTAACTGAAAGGGTCACTCTTAATATAAATGCAGCAAGGATTCCAAACAAGCATAAGGTTAACTGAAAGTCTTATTCATATCATAAGTGAAGCACGGTATTCAGACCCAGCATAAGGTTAAATGACAGTCTCATTCAAGTAATAAGTGCAGCAATGTGATCAGATCCAGCATAGGGTTAAACTGAAACTCTTATTCTTATAATGCAGGGCTGGTCGGATCCTTCCAGACAGGGGTGCTGTAGATGCAGGTTACGGTTGGGGGTAGCAGGCGTTGACACTGCAATAACGGAACGCCGTGCAAGTCCCCCAACCCGGCTTTTAATACACATGGAAGTGCGGGTGGGCGGAGCCGCACGTTCCTCTCGGCACTTCCGCGTTCCAGTGTGGAACGCAGCGGCGCCCCACACACACGTCATTGCGCCTTAGCCGAGGGCATTCCACGCTGGAACGCAACGGCAATTCTCGGCGGACTCCCCTTACCGTACCCCCTTCTAAGGGAACCCCTCCTGGGGGTCCCAAGAGGTGCGGGTTTGTCAGGATACCTGGCGTGAAACCGATTCCTCAAGGTAGGAGCGCGCACTTCCGCTGAGTCCTCCCAGGAATCATCCTGTGTCCTATAGCCTTTCCATCTAATAAGAAAGTCAGGAAATCACCAGCACTCAGTAGTAAAGATAAATATGTCCCTTTTATTGGACAGAAAACATCACAGACATCAAAATAAACCTGGTTTATTTTGATGTCTGTGACGTTTTTTGTCCAATAAAATGGACATATTTATCTTTACTACTGAGTGCTGGTGATTTCCTGACTTTCCTGTGTTTGCACGGCGCCATCCGTGGTATCTCATCACTGCGAGCACCACTTTTTTCATATCTGGCCGGGACTGCTGTGAGGAGTGCGGAGGGTCTCTCCATCTACTTGTTTCCATCTAATAAGGTACTGTAACCGTCCCCTCCTCCTTCTGGAGTCCAAGATCTGCTCCGCCTCGTACCCCTACTCACCCTGAACCAGGATAGGGGGTGCAGGAGGAGGGTTTCTTTCGGGGAAAGGGTTAGTCCGGAAGGATTTGAGAAGGGAGACGTGGAAGGAAGGGTGAATCCTCACTCAAGAGGGAGAGTAAGTTGCACAGTGTTTGAGTTGATTACCTTGTCTATGGTGAATGGACCCAAGAACTGCTTCCCCAGTTTCCTAGAGGGGATTTGTAGGCGAAGGTTTTTTGTGGAAAGTCATACCTGGTCCCCCACCTTGTAGGGTGGTGGAGGTCTACGTCTGAGGTCGTAGTACAATTTTTGGCAGTCTTCGGCCTGTTTAAGGTTCTCCTTCACGACCTGTAGAGTGGAATGGAGGGTAGACAAGTACTCATTTGTTGAGGGTACGTTAGTGGATAACGGGAGGGTCGGACAACAGATTGGGATGAAACCTGTAGTTCGTGAAAAAAGGAGTTCTACGAGTGGAAGAACTGGTGGAATTGTTGTACGAGAACTCCGCGAGGGGAAGGAGGGTGGCCCAGTCCTCCTGGAGGTGGGTGCAGTAACATCTCGGATATTGCTCGAGGCACTGGTTTACACGTACTGTTTGCCCGTTTGTTTGTGGATGGTAAGCACTAGACCTCCTGTGGTCTATATGCAGGGTGTCACATAGGACCTTCCAGAATTTAGAAACAAACTGTGAACCCCTGTCAGAGACTGAGCGGGAAGGGACCCCATGTAATTTGATGACATGGCCTACCAGTGCTTGAACTGTTTCTTCTGAGGAGGATAATTTTTTGAGCAGGACGAAATGGGCCATTTTCGTGAGCATATCAACTGCCACCATGATCGTGTTGTAACCGTTGGAAGGAGGTAACTCCACAATGAAGTCAAGGGAAACTGCTTCCCAAGGCTTGTTGGGAATAGGTAGAGACATCAGTAACCAGTAGGGGGGTCTTCTCTCGTGCTTACACCTTGCGCATACCTCACAGGTTGTGACGTAAGCTTGTATGGTCGCTGCCATCTCGGGCCACCAAAAGTAGCATTGTATGAGTTTGGTGGTTTTTGCAATTCCAGGAGCAAAAAAGGGGCATCATGTAGTGTTTTCATTATGTAGATGGTCATGGAAGGAGGTACATAGAGTTTGGCGTCTTTGTAGAGGAATCCCTCTTCGTCTTGAGTCAACCCTTGAGGTATTAGGTTGTGATCCACAGTTAGACTTTGTTTTAGCTGTTGTTTTAGATTAAAATTGGCAACCATGATCTTATGAGATGGGCTTAGGGAGGATGGAGGAGAGGATTGTTCAGAGGGTTCAGAGATTCGAGACAGAGAGTCCGCCTTTCCATTCTTAGCACCCGGTCTATAGGTGATCAAGAAGTCGAATCTGTCAAAAAAAAAGACTCCATCGTACTTGTCTTGAAGAGAGGGTCTTATTGGACTTGAGGTACTGCAAATTACGATGGTCAGTGTATACTATTAAGGGGTTTACTGTTCCTTCAAGTAGGTGGCGCCAATTCTCTAAGGCGCATTTGATCGCAAGCAATTCTTTTTCGCCAATGGGGTAGTTACACTCCACTGGATTTAAGGTCCTGGAATAGAAGGCTACGGGATGAAGAGGCGTCTCTGGGGATGCTCGTTGGGAGAGTATCGCACCCAGGGCAGTTTGGGAGGCGTCGACCTCTAACACAAAATGATAATCCGGATTAGGAAGTTGGAGGATAGGGGCTGAGGTAAATTGGAGTTTTAATTCCTCAAAAGCTTCTTGTGCATCATTGGACCACGTAAACCTCACTGTGGAGCTAGTAAGTCAGGTGAGGGGTTTCACCACTGAAGAAAAGTTTTTGATAGATTTTCTATAGAAGTTGGCGAACCCCAAAAAGCTTTGTACAGCCTTTCTGGAATTTGAAGTTGGTCAGTGCAGGATACACGATATCTTGGATTGGTCCATCTGTATCCCCTGGGTGGAGATGATGAACCCAAGGAAGGAGATGGTAGTCTGTTCAAAGACGCATTTTTCGAGTTTGGCGTATAAAGAGTGGGCTCGGAGTCTAGCTAGCACCCATCTGACATTTTTTCTGTGTACGGAGAGATCGTCTGAATAAACGAGTACATCATCCAGGTATACCACTACGCATATGTCGAGGAGGTCCCGGAAGATGTCATTCACGAAGCTTTGAAAAGTTGCTGGGGCATTACACAGCCCGAAGGGCATCACAGTGTATTCAAAAATCCCATAACGGGTTCTGAACCCAGTCTTCCATTCGTCCCCGGATTTGATACGGATCAAATTGTAAGCCCTCCTAAGATCTAGTTTGGTGAAAACTCGGGAGGACTGTAATCTTTCAATGAGCTCGGGAATGAGAGGCAAGGGGTACCGGTTCTTCACTGTGATTTTATTTAGACCATGATAATCAATTATGGGTCTCAAAC